AGAACTGCCATCTTTTCTCTGTTGATTTGTAGGTGGACCTGTCATATACTAGGCTGCTTCACAGCTGTGGGTCCATTTTTGGGTTCCTTGTACTGTTCCAGGGGTTGGTTTGTCTATTCCTAGACCAATATCCTATTGTCTTAAATACTGTGGAGTTATGATAAGCCTTCCATCTGCCTGAAATGCTCGTCTCCTAAAGACGCACATGACTAAATCCTTTATTTTCTGCTGGTCTCTGCTTCAGGGTTGTGTTCTTAACCAGCCTTTCCTGGCTACCCTTTCTAATATATCAGTACCTCCTCTAAAATCTTAATATCCTCTTCCCCTGTTTATTTCCCAGTCTAGCATTTCTTATTCAATACAGTAATGCATACAGTTCTCTTGTTTATTCTTTCTCTTTCCCACTAGAATATAAGGTTTATGAGGGCAGAGATTTTGGCTGTTTCATCACTCTTGTACCCCAGGCACAGAAGACCTTGTCTGGCACTTAGCAGGCATTTGATTACTATTCCTGGAACAAGTTACGTGATGTTGATATATAGAAGGGCACCCCTCCCTCTTTGTACTTCCCTTTAAGATACGCTTTATCTCTAGTTCTCTTGCTTCTTGATGTTAGACTAATACAAGCAATTTGAAAGAAAGGGAAAAAGAACAAAGTTTCAGGTTTCCCAGAGGTGGGTAGTGAAATAGAAAAGGGTGGGAGGATCAGGGTGGACAGAGTTGGACTGACACACAGTTTAGCCCTGGCAGCCAAGACGCGTATAAATCGCAGGCTCCAAGCCCACAACCAGAGTCTGGGTAAGAGTGCTTTAGCTTTTATGGGCTGGCTATTCTGCTGAAGATGCCTCCTGTTCCCGTTTTTCACAGAGGGCGGGCAGAGCTGGCAGGACCTACAGTTTATAGTGTCCTCACTGGGTGAGGAAACTTACCAGGCCTTTGGGTTTTAAGGGGACACACCCTGCAAGCGTGGCAATGACCATCTCGGCTGTGCGTGTGACCCACGACTGGCCAGGACTCCTGGAGCTGGAGTCGTCTAAGGGTGAAAGCTCGGTGGGGCAGTCTGCCGGCGGCTGGGTAGCACCGGGGGCAGGCCTGGAATTGAGCAGTGATGATTCACGGAAATTCCCTCAGAGAAGGTACTCTGGGCTTTATTCCAGGCCAAACTGGGGAGCCAAGTCATTCTGGAAGGAATGTGTACAACGTTTTCAGATGAGGACTTGAAGTTTTATAGGCTGGAATCATATTTGATTCAAACCATCTGTTGACCATCAAGCTGAACCCATCACTTTTTTCCCTCCATCTCTTACATCAGCTCAGGATAATAAATATTTACTGAGGGCCCATGGAGTGCCACCAGGCACCAGGGTTATAAAGGTGAATGACACAGTGGTCCTTGTTTTTGAGACGGTTATGGTCTTGTGGAAGTAAAAGCTATATGTTTATATGTGTTTCCTCTCCCTGATTGTAAGGTTGGGGGTCTGTAATTTATATATAATTTATATCACAGTTGCCCAGAGCTGGTCAGTCCATTTTTGTTGATGAAATAAACATATGGAGGGCTTCCAGTGATTTATCAAGTATGGCTCTCCAGTTGTACAGCATTGTTGTTCATTCTTGGTATTGTGGTATGTAGATTTCGTATTGCAGTCACCTCTAGATACAGAGAGCCTTCTTCGCTGAGAGGCAGTGGCTAACGCTGTGACATGAGAAAACAATAAAGATGCTAAAATAGCTGAAACAGAAAAAGGCTATTTTGTACCCCAAGAATTAAAGTAGATGATGAAAAGGCAGTTCTTAATGTGACATGCTCAGTAAGCTCTCGGTAATGTCAAACATGAGCATATTTTTCCAATTCTCTCTGAGATGGTCATAAAATTACATTCACAGCCTCATCTTTTAATTTGGAAGATACCATGGCAGGCACTTCAGGGATCAGAAAAACAGAAAAAAGAGCTTAGAATTTGGTAGTGTTTCTTAACCAGCCATACATGTATTCACAAGCCTTTTGAAAGAGTGAACAAAGTTGGTGGGTGGGTGCATTTTTCTGAGGAGTGCATTCATCAGATCATCCTGTGGCTCTTGTCCCCCAAAGATGAAGACCCTCTGTCATACGTGGGGTGTAGCTAGAGAAAGAATTATGGAGTATGGAAGTATTGAGGGTTTAAACCAGGAGCAACTCGGGTGGTATAAGCAAAGGCCCAATAGGATGGAAGAAGGTAGCAATGACGACTGACCGACCGACCGACCGACCTCGGTATTGAAGGACAGGCAGGATTCCAACAGGAGGGAGGTGGCAGGGCTCCGGAAGTGGGGAGGTCACCAGAAAGACAGACATAGTGTGGGGAGTGCAAGGCCTTCTTTGGGGAAGAGCTGGTAGTTCAATGCATAAGCTAGGGGGTGGGGAATCCATAGGCAATAAAGTCATCACATCTTGGGGCCATGCTGTGGGAAGCTTTCAAGTGTTTGCTGAATGATTAAAATAGAACTTTAAAAATACCGCCAGATGGTTCACTGTCAGTGTCTTAGCTGCCACGAATGTAAACATTTTAATGTTTCCAACAGACTGTTTTAAATTATCCAAAGAAGTGTTTAATATCAATAATTACATAGGGGCATTGACATTTATGTTTAAAGAGGACCAGTTTAAGTTGGGGAGGGTATAGGTCAAGAGGTAGAGTGCATGCTTAGCACGCAGGAGGTCCTAGGTTCAATCCCTAGTACCTCCTCTAAATAAATAAATAAATAAATAAATAAATAATAAACCTAATTACCTCTCCCTAAAAGTTGAAAAAAAAATAAAAAGGTAAAAAGAGGACCAGTGTAAGACCAGACTGAAGATACAGCCAAGAAAAGTAGAAACAAGAATAGTGCAGACATTTTAGGTGTATCTTGCACCTAAAATTTGATCAGGATGAGTAACACATGCGTAGGTTGTATAAAGGGGGTAGGAAAGGGATTGGTGCACATCTGGAGGGGAGGAGTTGCAGGGAGCAGCCTACTTGCAGAGTCAGAGGCACTGCAGAAAACTGTGTGCTCTTTTTACAAATTGGGATCATATGGCATACATAGTTTTATGTATTCTGCTGTTAGCTTTGCAGCATCCTGAATATTTTCCCAGGTCAATATTCTTCAAAAACATGTATTTTGAAAGTCTGTGTAATGTCCCATGATATGAATATATCATCATTTATTGACACCTTTTCCTTGGTTTTCACTCTTATAATAGTGTAGTGATGTTCCTTGAAATCAACAAGATTTTGGACAAATAAACATTTTTGCGTCTACTTCTGGACAGATTCACGTAAGTGAAATTATCTGGTCAAACTGTATAAATTCTTTTAGGGTTCATAATACATATGTCTATAGTGCACTCCAGAATTGTAGCACGGCAATCAATTCCTACGTCAGCCCATCATCCTGTGCTTTGCTCAATACTGAGTGTTTTCATTATAAAATCTTTGCCAATTTTGTAGGGGAAATCTTCTTTGCTGCCAATATTTTTTCACACTTTATCATCAGTATTTTGTCTATGAGTTATCTGTTGTTCCTTTTCCATTTGTGTCTTATGATTTTTTTTCCGATTTAGTTTATGTAAGTTCTTGATGGTATTAGCCTTTTGAGATAATATTACGGTCAACCTTTCCCCCATTTTGATGACTGCACATTTTTTTCGTTTTTTTAGATGCACAACTTTATATTTTATAGTCAAATCTTTAGATACTTTCTTTGTAATTTATTATATTTAGATTACTTCCCTAGCCAGAGATCAGATATTCATATAACTGTTCTTATGGTCTGTGCTCCAGGATTTTTCAGGCAGTTCTCATGCTTTCTGGTGTCTTCTGCCCAGGTGATGTTAATTATCTGTCTGATACAAAGAAGGAATTAAGGTGAGGCACTGACGTCATATTAGTGGCATTGGTATAGTGTAGTGGTTAGTAGTGTGGTGTTTGGAGTCAGTCTGGCCCCACCACTTAATATGGGATCTTTGAAGTCAGTTACTTTCCCTGCTGTACAGTTTCCTTATCTGTAAAATAGGTTAATAACAGAACTTTTCTCAACTGGTTTCGGGAATAAAATGATGTGTAAATCACTTAGAACAAGTCCTGGTACAAGGTCAGCGCCAGCCAGTTTCGTCCATGCTGGGTAGGTGCTCTGAATCTTGGTTCTGTTTCAGTACAGTCTGCATGTCTAAAATCTGGAACACTGCAAAGCACTCTTCACCGTCAGTCTTCACTACAGCGGCCCATGGCCACTTTCGTAAGCCAGACGCGCCTCCTGGAGGCCACAAGAGAAGTTTACCCCTAGTTCTGGAAAACCCTCCAGACCATAGTCGGAGAGCTGGTGTGGCTCCAGTCCGCAGCCCCAGATGCACTTTCCCCCAGCGCTTTCCACCTGCAGGACTGTACTGCCCAGAGCCTGATCTACTTTCTGCAGACTGGGAGCGATTTCTGTATGCACGTATGCGTGCATTCACTCATTCATTTTAGTTCCCTGCAGATACTCTGCGGGGAGTCCACCGCGCACGGGGCGTTGCTGGACATAGACTCTGTCCTCGTCCAAGAGAAGCAGACCACGCATCGTACGCAGATGGGCAGAATAGCCAAGACCTAGCTCCGGGTTGCTCATCTGTAAGATGAGGGCAATACGACCCACCCTACAGGCAGAGCCCCTGGCATAGAGCCGGGCGCAGTAACAGGGCCGGGGGACGCCCGCTCTCCGCCCACCACCCAGACCCGGCGACCCGATGGGTCTCTGTCAGCGCCCGACCACTTCCCGTCGGGCCGCTCCGGCGCGCGCGGACGCTCGCCGCCAGCTTTCCAGTACCCAACTGTCAACCGTCCAAAGTAGGCGACTGCACGCACGGAAGCGCAGCTAGAAACGCACACTCTAGGAGACTCCCTAAACCTGGCGCAGTGATGAAACCCCTTGCGGCGACCAGAGGCGCCCTCCCTTTTTACCGGACTCGCATGAGACCGGAAGCGGAAGCAGCTGGAGCACAAAGCCCGCCCTCCGAGGCCTCGCCCACAGCGGGCGCTGCTTCCGCTTCCGGTCCCGTACGAACTCTCCCGCCAAGCGGTAAACGGGCAGTTTTCGTGTGTGTTTGTGTGTGTTTCCTCGTTCAGTGCGGGTGCAGGTACGGAAACTCCCGCGGGTTTGCGACGCACAGTAATGCCGGCTTTAAGGTTTGCGAGTCCTGTAAAAAGGGAGGGCAGTCTGGGGTGACGGGCGCAGTACCCAGTATTGGTCCAGTATCGGTCCAGTATCGGTTGCTTGTCCGGGCAGAGACGCCGGCGCCGGTGGGCTGACAGACGGCCCCGCCGGGGGAGGGGTCGTCACCGGGAACCTGGATGCCCCTCGGAGGAGTTCCCGGAGGCGGGGCTTGGAAGCCAGTTGTCCGCTTCCCAGGTTCTCAAAGTAGAAAGCGAGTCAGTGGACCCGGTCCGCTAAGTCTCCTGTCTAGCCGGAACCTACCGCGGTTTCGTCCGAACTGAGGATTGCAACCTTTTGGACATCTCATCGTTGCTCCTGAGACTGCGGAGACCTAAGGGCGGTGGCACCTGACATTGATGTTGCTGGAAGTTAGGACCCCTACCTGCTTCTCCCCCAGCTCGCACCTCTCCCCACCCCCGTCACGCAGTTGTTATCAGGTGTATTGTCCCAAATCAGGAAAGTACAGAAGGCATCACTCTGGGTTACTGCTGTTAACATTTTGTGCATGCTCTTCAAACTCAGTTTTTTTTTCCTGTGGATGTGGAGTTATTTTTTGCATTTTTTGTCTGTTTTTTGTTTTTAACTCAACTTTCCATCATTTTAACCATTTGATGTGCTTCCTTCCAAGGTAATAAGATGGAGTTTTCAGGAGTAAAGCGGAGGAAACCGAGGCTGGTAGATAACCAGAAGAACGCTTGCTACCCACATAGCCTTCAGTTTTACTTGCAGCCCCCTTCTGAAAACATATCTTTGATAGAGTTTGAAAACTTGGCTATCGATAGAGTTAAATGTGAGTGATTTGAATTTGAATTTATCTGTTTTCGAGAGCCTCACTTTGTACTTTGTGGGGATGAATTAGAATAATTTATTTCCTTAATTTAACAAATATATATTCAGAGTTTTCTATTGAGATTTGGTATTCATTCATTTATTCAATGTACAGTGCCTATTTATTGAATGCCACTGTATTCTAGGTGGCAGGAATTTTGAAATAGAAATAAGAAATAATTCTTATTTCTGTTGAAGCTGTATTCTAGTACATGGAGACAGATGTCCAAAATAATAATTTAGTATTTTGAGTGCTCTAGTAGAGGCAGATAATAATGCTGTAGAGGTGGGGGTGGTTGACCTAGTCTGATTGAGACTTCTCAAGAGAAGTTGAAATGGACCTTGAAGAATGAGTAGAAATTTCTCAAAAGAGAGGAAGTGACGGGTTTTTCCAAGCCTAGATAATGGCCTGTGCAAAGACTTGGAGGCATGAGAGAGACTGTCATTTTTGAGGGGACAGTGACAAGTTCAGGATAGATGGAGAAGTATGGCTAACTGAGGGCATTTTGTGCCATGCTAATGGTGTAATATGGGGGTGTGAGAAGGGTGTGGCAGTTGTACTGTGGGCATTTTTATCTTTTGTGTGTTGGTGGAAGAAAGAAAGAAGCTAGGCGTGACCTGAAACTGCGGAGTTCATGTTCCGGGATATCCTGGTGGGAAAATCAGAAGGAGAGGTGAGATACTGCTCATCGTTCTTAGAGGAGCAGGGTGAGAACTTTTAGTACAGAGAGCCAGGCTCAGTAGCTGTTTGCTGAATGAAAGAGGGAAGACAAAGGAGAAAGGGTTTGGGGAAGCTTAGCAGCGTCAGATGCTTCACAGAGGTTACGATGATGATTGAAAAGCGCCCCCTTGGGTCTGGCACTTAAGAGGCGAGATAGAGGGGCCTGAACTAAGGCAGTGGCAGTGGCAGCTATAGGAAGGGAGAGATTTAAGGGATACCGAGGAGGGGTAATGAATGGAATTTGATGACCGCTTGGGTGTCAGGAGGGAGGGGGCAAATGGAGGCGGCAGCAGGTCCTGTGTGGTGATCTGGTGGCTAGAAACTGCTGGCAGAGTTGGGGATGGCAGGAAGAGGAGGATACTTAGTTTGATTTGAGTGTGTGTTTATGTTCTAGAGTCATTTTAGAAGTTTTTCCTTCTTGAATTTTAAAAGTGCCTCTCTTTATGTTGATAGGAGAAGAATTCATCTGAGGAAGGGCTGACAAGGGCGCCAGGAGCCTTTGGACAGTGTGTTGCGTGTAGTCAGGATGGCTCATTTGGGTGATGGGAGGGCCCTGTGGCTTCCCTGTTGTGACTTCTTCTCTGCTTCTCCAGGAAAGGAAGGGCTGCCTTTTTTTGATGAGTCTGTGCTTAGTCAGTGAGGCAGACCGCCTCACAGACAGCTCCACGCCAGGGTGCTGGTGTGGACACACTTCTGCATCCCTGGGCAGTGGTGTTCAGCAGAGCAGTGATGGTCCTCCCATCCCTCTCTCTCTTCTGGTTGAGAATCCCTGGTGTGAGGTTATGCTGTGGGATGTGGGTACTTTCTGCACATGGATGGAGATTATCCTCTTATAAACATATAATGTATATAACACGATTGCAGAAAATAGAATTTCCAAATGTCATTTTTTGTAGACAAGTAATTATGGAATTGCTATCCATAGATTTTATTTGTCTTGGATTTAGTTTTTAAAAACTATCTTGCATCTATACCTTTTTTCCCTTTTGTCTGTTCTTGACATTTTTCCCAGTGCTGAAGTCAGTGGAGAACCTGGGCGTGAGCCATGTGAAGGGAACCGAGCAGTACCAGAGCAAGCTGGAGGCGGAGCTTCGGAAGCTCAAGTTTTCCTACAGAGTGAGTAAAAGAGGGAAAAAGATGTCCCTCCGGGTTGTGCGTATTCACGTACTGGGTATCGGTTGTGGGAAAAGCCTTGTATTCAGCACAGGACTTAAAAAAAGACTGTGCCTGAAAGCACCCACACTCTGTGAGGCGTGATTGACATGCCGTCAGATGTCTGCAGTGTGGCAGGGCTTCTCCACCTCGGACGCCCGACACTTGGAGTCTGATAACTCCATGGTGCGTTTAGGGTGCTTCTACCCAGTCTGTGGCCCCAGACATCGCCAGCTGTGCCCTGTGCAGTACAGGGTGGTCAGTACTAGGTGGGTGCTCCAGCAACGCCAAGAGCACAGAGAGCCAGCTCAGACTCGGGAGGTTTGGGAGAGCCTCCCAGAGGAAGTGGGGCTGGAACCGAATCTTGGTGAGTGTGATCAGATTTTTATTTTGGGAGGATGGCTGTTTACAGCAGATTGACAGGGTCATGTCTGGCAGGGAAAACCAGTTAGGAGCTTGGAAGTGAAGAGAGTGAATTGAATGGAGGGAAGAGGAGTGATTGAGACATAGTAGGAAGTTAGAATTGAAAGATCTGAGTGCCTGATTGCAGGGAGGAGGGAGACAGAAGAGTTCCGAAGACACCGGGGTTTCTGGTGAGGACAGCTAGCTGGATGGCGATGATGCGTACAGGAGGGGAAGCAAGTCTCATCAGAAGGGAGATGCTGAGTTTAGTTGTGGACGTGACTTTGGGGTGCTTGAGGAGCTGTCTAGAGGACAGCTAAGTATGCACAGGTCTGGCCTTGGGGACATCTGGAGTGGGCGTCTGGATTCAGGAGGAAGGTTGGAATCAGCAGGAACAGGGGAGAGCACCCTCGGAGATATCTGAGCGAGAAGAGAAGGCTATGGGGGTCAGGCTGTGAGGAGTACCAGTATCCAGAGGGGTGGGACTGGGGGAGTCGGGGAAGGTGATCGAGGGGGCGCTGCCTGAGAGGTGGGAGCTCAGCCAGGATGGTAGTGTCTGGGCAGCCAAGGAGGCCTGGAGCTTTGGGGATAACGGTCATGATGTAAGTAACGATACCGTAGGGAGAGCAGCAGCAAACATTCATGTTATTACCACGGCCCCACAGTTCGTTGCAAGTGCATTGCATGCAGTAGCCCGTGTAATCCGGACAGCAGTCTTAGGAGGGGTCAGTGCTGCTGTCATGCCTGTTTCATAGACGAGGCCACTGCATTGTCGCTAGGCTAGGTAGCCTGCCCAAGCTCATAAGGTGGTGAGAGGTGGAGCCAAGATTTGAATCTGGTCATCTTGTCTTCAAGGTGGTGCTCTTAATCACACAATTTTGGAAGCTTGATGTAGATCCTGTAAGACGAATTGTATAGAATCCATTGGATTTATCAACTGGGTGGAACCTTGTGGGTAGAGACAGAGCCAGGGCAGGGTGTCTGGAGGAGAGCGGTGGGTGTGGAATGCATCCTCTTCTAACAGGTTCAGCTGAAAAGATGGGTGGGGGAGGGTAGGAGACAGGTCTGAATATGGAAAAATTTGAGGGAAAGAGAAGATAACACACAGACACACACACACACACACACACACACACACACACGACAGCAGTACTTGAACATGTGTGTCAGCTGAGCAGAAAGATCTAGAAGAGAAAGCGGAGGGGAGCTTGAAGATTCTTGGAGGGATTTGATAAATCACGGTCCTTAGCAGGCAAGAGCAGATGGGTGCAGGCTTTAGGTGTGGAGACTGGCGTTCTGTGGGAGGAAGGAGGGAGATGTGTCCACGGAGGTGGGAGGGAAGGCAGTACAACTTGTGGCTGCAGAAGCTTGGAGCTGAGCGGGTCGGCCTGGTGGCCTTTATTTTCTGTAAGGAGGTGAAGTCCTGTGATGAGAGAGGGGGGAGGGCGGTGCGGCAGGGAGCGTGGTGGGCCAACTAGCGAAGATCGAAACCGCTCTTCTGAGAAGTGGGGAAAGAGATGGTCACGTGTCAGATCCCAGCTGTGCGGCTCCACACGCTGTGACCCTGGGTAAAATGATGTGACTTCCTTGTGCCTCAGGTTCCTCGCCTTTAAAGCAGGGATATAGTGGTGCCCACCTTATAGGGCTTTTAAAGGATTACATGGGCTAATGGATTAAAGATGCTTGTAACAGGGCCTGAGTACATGTTTGCTCTCACAGTGTTGACCTTGAATAAGGACTCCTTGGTGTTGGTAAAGGTCCAGGGGAGGTCAGAGGCTGTGAATTTTTAATCCTCCACATTCGTTTAATTGTGTGTTTTCCCCAGACGTTCTCAGCGTTTTGGGAACAAGACTGCAGACGGTAGCTGTGGACTTATTTAGAATCTAGGTTTTGCCAAATGGTTGAAATGAAAGCAGTTGAGGGTTTGGTGTTGAAGTGGGAGAGGTGAGTACCTGGGTGTAGGCTGGATGGGAAGGAAAGGTAAGAGAGGGGGAGCTGATAGGAAGGAAATAGTGGGGTCCAGTCCCAGGAGGTTTGTCGTTGAGTTCTCAGCTTCACCTGATGGCTTAACCTCAGTGAAGTGATGTTTATTCTGGGAAGCAAATTAGGAAATCTGTGTTATTGAAACTTACTCTACCATTGGTTACTGCTGACTCAGTGTTTCTTTGCTCCTCTTACCATTCTCATGCATTTATTTTGTCCATGTGCCCTTGTTTTTAAGGAAAACCTGGAAGATGAGTATGAACCGCGAAGAAGAGATCACATTTCTCACTTTATTTTGCGCCTAGCTTATTGCCAGTCGTGAGTACACATTTGTCACTCTCTTGGTCAAATCTGGTTACCTTGGGTTATAAACTGTACAGGATGGCTGACCTGTATAGTTTACTGAACATAGGAAGTCTCGGAATAACATCAGAAACCAGTGGTTCATGGACTGAGCTCTGCTGCAGTGAATTTTTTGAAACAACTTGTTTACTAAAAAAATATCAAAAGCATTTCTTACTGCAGAATTTTTCCTGTTGAAACACGAATTTTTTTTTAATAATGTGGAATTAACAGAAATGTTAAACTTTATTTTATCACCCAGATTCTATTTTTATTTACTGGGAATTTTTTTGGTGGGAGGGGTAGTAATTAGGTTTTTATTTATCTCATGGAGGGATCAGGGATTGAACTGGGACCTCGTGCATGCCTAGGCACACTGTACAACTGAGCCGGACCCTCTCCCCCAAACATTAAATTTTTAACTTTATGGGAAAGACTTCATTTGGGATTTAAAATTGGAGGGGATTTCATTAGGAAGAAGGACTTCTGATACTTTTTTTTCTCAGAAAAAAAGTGGTACTATTTATGAGAAATAGTGTATCACATACTTGAATCTGTGCGGGTTTTAGAAGTTGAGATGTGTGGGCTAGTGACTGAGTCAGGGCTTCTCCTTTAGTAGTGGTTTCTTGTCGGTCAACAGTGCCACCCAGAGGAAGAAGGGGTTAGTAGCTTTTTTTTCCCAAACTTTTTTTTTCCTGTATTAATTTTGACTAATTTACATGCTAATTTTTCTGTTTCTTTTTCTGTTCCTTTTGTTAATAGGTTTATCAAATGGGACTCTTGAATTGTTTACTATCCCAATTTAATAACTGAGAAACTATTAATCAGCTTTGGACCTACAGTTTTTCTTTGTAAAAAAAGCATATGCACTTTATGCAATTTGTGTAGTAATTGAATTGCTGACCATGTGTTCATTTGGGGAAAGAACCCTAAATTATATTTTATATTCAGCAGCATAATTGTTTTATAACAGCAGTAATAATGCCCATTGCGTATCTGTCTCATAAATTAATATATTGTATGTTGTCTTTTAAATGATTGAGGTATACTAGAGCATTATAAAGTTATAGAAATTATAACTAGAAAGCTGTATGCAAAGTTTACTTTGCAAAGTTGACCTGATCATAATCCATTCAGAGATAAATTTCCTTTAAAAATTTGATGTTTATTTGGCATTGGTGAAACCATCTTAGACAGAAGGAATACCCCGTTTTCTAATGCAAATGACTACTTTGCAGTTACACCAAACCCAGTGCACTCTTTTCTCTTAGGTTATTTGATAATAATGCGGCTAGGCTTGAAGTACTCTGTATTTAATTCTTCTAACTTTTGTGTTTATATCACCTTTCTCCCCCATATTCTGCTCATCCCTGGGAGATTGTGGCACATGATGTGTATCCACACTATTTATCATAATAGAGGGTTGTGTGCTTGTAACTTCTGTCTGTTGGCTTCTTGCTCATGTTTGAATATTGCTCTATAGAAATTTCAGAGAACTTTTAAAATAATCATTGGACCTTTCATTTATGCTTGTAATTTTCCTGTCCCCATTTCAGTGAAGATCTTAGGCGCTGGTTCATTCAACAAGAAATGGATCTCCTTCGATTTCGATTCAGTATTTTACCTAAGGACAAAGTTCAGAGTTTCTTAAAGGATAGCCATTTGCAGTTTGAGGCTGTGAGTATATTTTTAGAGTCATTTCCAATTGTTATCACCGTTCGTCCCTCCCTGCTGCCTTAGGTACTGGTATTAGTGTGTGAAGTTTGTTCTCTTTACATTTTTTCCTAAGTACCAGCTTAGAAAAAATAGCTGTTGGCTTTGCACAGCAATGAACCTTTCCTTTTCCATGACCAGAAAGGGGCTCCTTAGTACCAACGCTTCACACTGAGTTGCTTTATTAAATATGTGATTTATGAAAGCTCAAAACAGTTTAATTTATAAAAGTTCACCTTTAATCCAAATCTTCCAGGCCCAAAATTGAAAGCTAATAATGTTCTTAAGAAAACAGAGAAGTGGTAATACTTATTTAGAAGTCAGTTGTCAATAAAATCCCTGAATAGTTTTAAGATACAGTTTTGTAGGCAAATCTGAATGAGTTATGTATAGTAATTATATAAAAAAGAAGAAATGTCTGGCACATATTTAGCAGCGATAATTATTGTGGGTGGAGATATAATTTATGTCTTTCAGGTGGATCTGTGCCGCAATGGGAAGATAGAGAATTCTATTTTGGAAAACTTAGAGCAGTCATGTGGTCGTAGGACTGGTTGAGACTATTTTGGTGTTAGAATGGGTGACCTGAGGTCAAACAAAGTAAAAAAAAGTAGAAGCTGGAGTAGGTGAAAGACATTGTCCTGTTTGAGAAGTGGATGTGCCCACTGGAGCGAGAGTCAGTGTGTGTTACTGAGTTGGGGGAAGGAGTTTGCAGGAGGGAAGTAAATAAACCCTTGGTAGACATTTAGTGTCTATCCTGTGCTAGGAAGGGGCTCTCCACACTTTCTCTTAAGTTCTGAGTGCCCTTTGAGGTTTCTGAATAATGTAGACCTGGGCAGTAGGAAAGTGCCAGTCCCAGAACCTGCTCACCCAAACCCCCGGGCATTTTCCCCTTTGCTCTTAACTCTGGTCCTTAGTGAAGTGCATCATTGCTAGTACCAGTTACAGTTAATTTGCCCTTTCGTATTGAAAATAGTTGATTTATTTTTTGCTGGTGTTGAAATTATGGTATTAGGTCATACAGAAAGTGTTTTTTGAAGATTTACTCTTTGTTCTAGAGTGTGTGAGTATGTCAAGTAGAAATTAAAAAAAATTTTTTTTTAAATTTAAGTACAGTCAGTTTACAGTGCTGTGTTCATTTCCAGTGTACAGCACAACACTTCAGTCATACATGAACACACATATATTCGTTTTCATGTTCTTTTTCACCGTGAGCTACTACAAGATACTGAATATAGTTCCCTGTGCTAAACGGTATAAACTTGTTTATCTGTTTTATATATACCAGTCAGTATCTGCAAACTTGACCGTCTAGTTTCTTAAGGTAGAAATTTAAGTTACTGATTTGAGGTAGTTGTCCTTTTTTTTAACAAGTGGTATAGTTGATGTACGATGTTATGTTGGTTTCAGGAGTACTGTATAATGATTAGACGTTTGTGTACATTATGAAATGATCACTGCAATGTCCCATAACCATCTGACCCATACAAAATTATTACAGTATTATTGACTATGTTCCTTATTGACATCTGCATGACTTATTTGTTATAAACTGGATATTTGTAGCTCTTAATCCCCTTTGCCTATTTCACACACATCCTGCCCCCTCCCTGCTGGCAAACACCCGTTCTCTGTGTCTGTGAGTCTGTTTTCATTTTGTTTGTTACTTTTCTCTTTTTAGATTTTGTGTATAAATGAGATCACACTGTGTTAGTTTTTCTCTCTTTGATTTGTTTCACTTAGCATAATACCCTCTATATCCCTCCGTGTTGTTGCAAATGGCACGATTTCATTTTTTAAATGAGTAATATTCCATTGTGTGTATATATACACACATATATATACACTTACAATATGTATAACACTTACATACCACATCTTTATTCATTCATCTATCAGTGACACTTACGTTACTTCCATGTCTTGGTTAAGGTAAATAATGCTGCAGTAAACATTGGAATGCATTTATCTTTTCAAATTAGTGTTTTTGCTTTCTTCTGGTAAGTATCTGGAAGTGAAATTTCTGGATGATGGAAGTTCTGCTTTTAATTTATTGGGGAACCTTTGTACTGTTTTCCATAGTGGCTGCACCAACTTCCAATCCTATCAGCGGTGCACAGTGGCTCCCTTTTCTGCACATCCTCACCAGCACTTGTTATTGGCTGTCTTTTTAGTGGTAGCCGTTCTGACAAGTGTGAGGTGATATCTCACTATGGGTTTGATTTGCGTTTCCCTGATGAGTGGTGATGCTGAACATCTTTTCATGTGCTTGTTGACCACTGTATGTCTTCTTTGGGAAGACGTCTATTCAGGATCTTTGTTCATTTTTTAATCTGGTGGTTTGTGTTTTTGATATTGAGTTGAATGAGTTCTTTGTACATTTTGGATATTACCCCTCATCAGATATGTTGTTAGCAAATGTCTTCTCCGATTTAGTAAGCTACCTTTTTGTTTTCTAGAGTTTCCTTTGCTGTGCGAAAGCTTTTAAGTTTCATGTCGCATTTGTTTATTTTTGCTTTTGTTTCCCTTGCCTGAGGAGACATACCCAAACACTATTGCTAAGACCAGTGTCAAAGAATCTACTGCCCGTGTTTTCTTCTCAGAGTTTTGTGGATTCAAGTCTTACATTTAAGTCTTTAATCCATTTTGAGTTTATTTTTGTGCGTGGTGTGAGAGGGTGGTCCAGTTTGATTCTTTTACATGTAGCTGTCCAGTTTTCCCAACACCGTTTAGTTAAGAGGCTGTCTTTTCCCCATTACACATTTTTAATTTCTTTGTTTTGGATTAACTGACCACATAAATGTGGGTTTATTTCTGGGCTCTCTATTCTGTTCCATTGATCTATGTATCTACTTTTGTGCCTGTATCAGACTGTTTTGATTACTGTAGGTTTATAGTGTAGCTTGAAATCAGAGAGTGTGATACCTTCAGCTTTGTTCTTTTTTCTTAAGATTGTTTTAGCTATTTCAGGTCTTCTGTGTTTCCATACAAACTTTAGAATTATTTGTTTTAGTGCTGTGAAAAATGCTGTTGGTATTTTGATAGAGAATGCACTGACTGTAGATTGCCTTGGGTACTGTAGTCATTTTAGCGGTATTTTTCCCGTCTGTGAGCATGATGTATCTTTCCATTTGTTTATGCTGTCTTCAGTTTCTTTCATCAATGTCTTACAGTTTTCCAAGTACAGGTCTTTTACCTCCTTGGTTAGATTTACTCCTTGGTATTTTATTCTTCTGGATGCAGTTGTAAATGAGATGGTTTTCTTCATTTTTGCCATTTTAATTATAATCTGTCTTGGTGTGGACCTGTTTGGGTTCATCTTGTTTACAATTCTGTGCTTCCTGGAACTGAACATCTGTTTTCTTTCTTTGGTCAAGGAAATTTTCAGCTATTATTTCTTCAAGTATGTGTTCTGCTCTTGAGTGGAGTTAACTTTGGTACACAATTCAAGGTTGGAAATTTCTCATCAGGATTTTGAAGGTATTACTGTATTACCTTTTAGCTTCCAGCGTTGCTCTTGAAAAGACTGATTCCTGATTCTGTGTGTCTCACTTTGTATAGTTTGGCCCTCCCACCTCCCACTCTGGTTTGTGAAATTTCCTAATGATGTCTGAATGGTTTTTCATTCTTTGGGACGGGAACTTGGTGGGCCCTTTTAATCTGAAGACTTGGGCTCTTCTGTTTAGAAAAGTTTTTTTTTTTGTTATTGAGTTGATAATTTCCTCCTTTTCGTTTTTTATTACTCTTTCTTTATAATTTCTTGTTTGTTAGAATTTGGACCTCCTGGATTTGTCCTATTCTTTTCTTTTTCTCCCTGACATTTAATCTTTGTCTTTTGTTTTCCTTTCTAGGAAAGTTCTTCAACTGTTTTATAAATTTCTTTTTTTCTCTGCTCTCCTATTATTAATTTCTTTTTATTTGTTTGTTTATTAAAATTTTTAATTTTATCTTTCATTTTTTATGCAATTTTTAAAGATTACTTTCCATTTACAATTAATATAAAATATTGGCTATATTCCCTGTGTTGTACAATACATCCTTGAGCTTGCCTTACACCCAGTAATTTGTGCCTCCCACTCCTCCACCCCAGCCCCACTGGTAACCACTAGTTTGTTCTCTTTTGTTCTCTATATCTGTGAGTCTGCTGCTGCTTTGTTATAGTCACTGGTTTGTTGTATTTTTTAGATTCCACATACAATATGTGTCTTTCTCTGTCTGACTTATTTCACTTAGCATAATGCCCTCCAAGTCCATCCATGTTGCTGCATTCTTTTTTATGAATGAGTAGTATTCTATCACACATATATACCGTATCTTTATCCAGTCATCTGTTGATGGATGCTCAGGTTGCTTCCATATCTTGGCAATTGTAAATAATGCTGCTATGAACATCAAGTGCATGTATCTTTTCAAATTAGTGTTTTTGTATTGTTTAGATATATACCTCGGAGTGGAATTGCTGGATCATGTGGTAGTTCTGTTTTTAGTTTTTTTGAGAAACTTCCATTCTGCTTTCCACAGCGGCTGCAGCAGTTTGCTTCTCCACCAACAGGGAACAAGGGTTTCCTTTCTTCCACATCATCACCAACGTTTGTTATTTGTGTTGTTTTTGATGTCCTGTCTTTAATTTCTAACAGACCTTTCTGGTTCCCCTTTTTACAGCTGTTGTTGTTTCATGAATACATCTTCTCTTTTCTTTTAAAGTTTGCTGATTGTGTTCCTCTGCTTCCTTAGATGTCTGTTCCCCTCTCATTCCTTTGTTTAGTTTATCAGTTGTGGATGGTCTTTCATGTTGAATGTTTTCCTCGAGTATTTAATGGTCCTTGACTATTTGTTTTTGTTTCAGATTGAGCTATTAAGTAGATTGGAAGACTGAGGTTTAGTACACATGCAGATGCATGAGATACTTATTTACCTGATCTGTTTTTACAAAAAAAAGTTGGTTGTTGGATGACCCTTGCAAA